CTAAAACTGTCGGTTGCCAAAGTTGGTAGAAAATTACGTCTAAGAGAGGAAGGACTGAAGGACCTGCCTTTAACTTTGCTTGGGTGTAGCTTTTTCTCTTTGTCCATGGCAAAACATAGGGAAGGATGAGGAAAAATTTCTCAAACTAAAAATACAGCATTGGAAGGATCTAGTGAAAATTCTGTCCTGGACAGTGAGAGTACGTACAGTTGTGTTATCAAATGGCAGATAAGTAGTTGAAGTCAACTGTATTTAAGATAGCTTTCTGCATGTGTATGCTAACTCTGCATATCCCACTGTGGTCAAAATACGGTCTTCCACCAATTTCATGAACAACAAAAGTGACGTGGTTGAATTCAGTTTCCTTGTTCGACCAGGTAAAACCACTCTGGCACACAGGTCATAGATGGTCATTTAACACTGACTGCTGTAGATGTGCACGCTCCTCTTTCCAGAGACCTTCTTGTGGTGGTGAAGCTTGCAGCACCTAGTTCAGAGCAGTGACCCCAGCTCCATACTCCAGATCTTGAACGGAATGAGGAAGCTTGCAGGAACAGTCTTCTGTATGAAGCCTTCCTAGATGCTCCTTCTGATGAGACTGGAATTACTGATGGAATAACTGCCTTAAATCAAATGTCTGGTCTGTTGAGTCTAAAAATGAATGATTACCTCTTGACAATCTCTCTAATTTTGGATAGAGAACAAAGTAGAATCATGAAACCACCGCCGCAGATGCCTTTACTGAATCTCTTTTTCCTTTATCTTGTGCCATATTGAACTGATTGCTAAGGAGAGAAATGTGCAGGAAATAGAAGTGGTAAAATGTGTGAGGAATATCAAATACTTTTAACTGGGAAGTGCTCTACGTAGGCACTGACTGTTTTCTTAGGTAGTCTGTCACGTTCTGTTACTTGTCCTGAAGTGCTGCATCGTTCAGGACATGGGCGCTCTCGGGAATGAAAGACTTCTGACAAGAAGCTCATAATACTTGAGTCTGACAAGGAAGAGCACTTTCAAAGAATACAAATAATTATTGTGGTCTCAAGTCCTTATGAAATAGGAATTGGAATCATCTTGTCTCACTTCATCCATTTCCAAGTTTAACATCCAATTTAAGCTGTTTGTCCAGTGTGATTCAACCCACCCACCTAATATCTGTTTTAAGATGTGGTAGTGACATGCCTTTCCACTGGCTAGAGAGCAAGGCTACGCAACCATCATAAACTATTAACCTAGATTTACGTAGTCGTGTGTGAGATGCACTTCATTGCTGCTCTCTCTCAGTATGAGGAAAAATACTCAAATTGATTCATACTCACCTAAACTGTCACACAATGGAGGACTGGTGTCTGGCTTTCAAAATACTTGTATTCCTACCCACCGCTGCACATATGATCTGGGAACTGTGGGTACTCAGCTTCTCTGAAAACTGGACTCTATATATCTAGTAAATTAAGTGGATTTAAAAATAGCTGCAGTTACATGAAAACAGGATAATATCCAAAGCAATACATGAATCTGTTGCCGACTGTGATCAGCAAGCTTACTTGAAGTGATGCCTGGTAGTCATGCATGTCTCTTTAGCTGTCTTACAGATTCTGTTTATTATGAACTTGAAGGCAGTTTTTAAGTGCTTTTCCTATAGAAAGTTAAAGAATGGAGGAGAAAAAAAAAAATCATTAGGAACTCATGTTGCAGACAGAAAATCTGATTCAAATATTGTATTGCCCATCTCAATCAATTTTATTTAGTTATCCTCACAAATTACCTTTTTAAGGAAAGAAAGGAATGGAAGAATAATTACAAGTTAGTCATATTACAAAATGAATAATTGACACATTCAGTTGTTAAATATTTATTTTATTAAACGGAGCATGCAAAATAGCAGCGAGTTTCTTTTCTGACCGGATTATTTCTGTGGTTTTGATTCCTTAGAGCTTTGCAGATTTGGCTTCTTTAGCCTAAGTGGAAACTGAAAGAGTCTAATCAGTGTCTCTACAGAGCTCTGACTCGGAGCTCTGGCAGCATCCCAGAATATTTCAACCACTGCTGAACAAACCATTACACCTACCCGTATGGCTCATTTGGAATATGACCCAGAAGCATGACTGGAGGAGCAGTCAGCTGTGCTTGTGGAGGGTGAATAGTCTGTTATGAGGGAGACCAGCTAAAACAGGCCTGTGGCGTCCAACCTGATCCATCTTTAAGAAAGTGGTCATGCCTGCTTTCTCTTTTAAGTATTATACATTAGAGGAGAATCATGAAACATGAATTATGTGCTAGTAAAGGGACTGCATTTAGCACTACAGGGCCAAATCCTGTCTTCATGTCTGTATGTGTTTTGAATTCAGAGCTACTTATATTCCTGAGAAAGGAATTTCTATTTCTTTGAGTTGCAGTCATAAATAGAAGATACAAATTCAGTTTGCACAGCTGTTAAAATGAGGGAGTTCCTAAAGAACCTCTCAGCAAAAGAAGAAGTCATCTTTCTTCACAGGTATATGGAACACATCTTGAAATCAAACAGTTCGGGGCGATCCCCATCACAATGTGCTTTCTCTTGCCAGTTTAAGTTCGATCCTCATTTTGTCTATGTAGATGTCCTCTGAAGGTGTTAAAGACTGGCACAAGGAACATGCAGGAAATTAAAATCCTGAGTTTCATATAAATGTAGTCACTGGTGGAAGATTTACTTAATAATTCAGTGTGAGACCAGTGTAACTTTAGGTCAGGTGACATATTGGACATGTGTAAGTCCATTGAGCTCTGATGGCATTCATCCACAAGTGCTGATGTCACTGTGAGGCCACTCTTGATAAACTTGGAATCATTGTGATGACCATGGTGAGGAGTGAAAGAAAGCTGTTGTCACCCCTTTCTTCAAAACAGGCAAGAATGAGGACTCCGAGACCTGCAGGCCAGTCAGCCCTACCTCGATTCCCTGAAAAGGTGATTGAATTTTTATGCACAGGAAGCACCAGAAGGTGATCAGGGGTGCTCAGCATGGATTCACTGAGGGGAAGTCATGCTTAACCAGCCTAATAACATTCTACAACAAAATGACTGGCCAGATACATGGAGGAGAGTGGTGATTATTGTCTTGCCTTAATTTCCATAAGGCTTTCAATGCTGCCTCACTTAAAATCTTCATAGAGAAGCTGTTGAAATACAGATCTGGATGAGGACATAGTGGGATGGATTGAAAACTGGCTGAGCAGCTGGGATGAGTGTGGTAATTGGGGGTATGAAGTCTAGTTGGAGGTGTACTATGTATACAGGTGTATATACTAGCAGTGTAACCTGGAGGTCAGTGCTAGGCCCAGTCCTGTGTGACATCTCCATTAATGGTCTGGATGATGTTTCACGGTGTATGTCTCATGGTTTGAGGCTGGCTGGGTAAAAAGTGAAATCTGCAGGTTTGCAATATCCTTTTCTTGAGCTTTTGTGAAAATCTCAAGGCTGAGAAGTCATGAAATGGTAATGGCAAGGTCACATAAGCAGCCTTCTCTCTCCTGTTTAGCAATTTAATAATCAACTGTATGCTATTTCTGTGGGATTAACCCACTCTCTCTGCCCATGGGATTATCACTTCCAGAGTGATTCCCATGGCATTCAGTGGCCTGTGTGTGGGATGGCTGTGCAATACTCCCATTGTGGTTCCACACACCTAGAAAGTTTCTGCCTCAGCTCGGTTTGTTCTATATTTGAATACACCTGAAATGTAACATGAAAACCTTCTCAATTTTCCCAGAACTTTTTGTTATGCTTGGTTTACTGTTTCACACACACACACACTTAATTCTACTGAGAAGAGCTCAGGGAGGATTTTTGATGTGGAATGCACCTACCTCTTAGGAGCTAAAACCTAGTATTTTCATCCTAAAATGCTCAGCTGGGGAAGGAATGGTGGGTACCTGGCAGTTTGAAGCCCTCCTGGGCCTCGGACAGCCTGTGGCCTCCCCTGGCCATTTTGGATTCCCCAGCTTCTCCAGCCACCAGAAGTTTCTAGGTTCCCACTGCTGGCTACCATCAGCTGAAAAGGGACTCCTGTGCTGCTGCCTTCTCTCCTCCATTGTTTTTTATATAATAATCAAAACCAGTAATCCAAATAAAACCAAAATAATCTAGAAAACTGTGAACTTGGAATAGTCTCATTTGTTGAAGTGGTGGCTCTTTTTCTTCCCTGCTTTTTTTATTTGTTGCTTTTCCTTATTCTCTGTTCTGTGTTTATTTTATCTTATTTATTATCTGATGCTTATTGTTCTAATTTGTTTTCCTGCCAGCAAATATGCAGGCTTTGTTCAGGCTGCCTCTGCTTTCAGGGAGGCCAGGGCACTGTCATATTCCCTGCTGCCTTCATTCAGGAAAGACTTCCAGGCTTGGGATTTTAGCCAACATCCTTTCCCTCATTGCTGCAGCCTGAGTTTGGGTGGGCTCCTAGATGTGGGATGTTCAGCTGGCAATGTTTGTTTGGGGTTTTTTTTTTTTCTTTCTTTCTTTCTTTCCTCCCTCATCACACGTGGTTTCAATATGATGGGTTTGTTTTTCAGGACTTGCTTTCTACTGCAAGTAAGCCAAGAAGTGCAGGGTTGAATGAGGCTCCCAGGAGAGCCTGAGACATGGCCAGAATGAGCTGAGCATGTGGTGTTAAAAATGCAGGCAACCTCACTTTTTTCCTCTATAGTTCTGGCCCAAGTCCTATTCACTTACATCAACAGAAGCCTCAGAAGACTCCTTGTGTCTGATTTAATGTGCCACTCGAATGGAACAGCATTCTAAAGCATCAGTGTGCCAGCCTGGCTAATTTTAGATAAGGTTTTGGTCACCCTGTCATAGGCAGTGTTTGTGGCTAGATGTCACATGTTTACCACTTCTTCTTTCCTTGCCTAAACATAACAAAGATGCTCTTCAAATGTAGTAATTAAAGCATGCATACAGTCTTACCCTTTTTCAACTAATGCATCTATGTTTATCGATGTCTTTTTGTTTTTGCATTCTAGATCAAGATAGAAAAGGAGCTGAGCAGCCTCTACAAGAGAACATTTGAACCTCTCCATGTGCCTCCAGAGCTCTTCCAAAGACTAACTGGACAATTCTGCAACATTCAGACGTTAAAGACAGGTCAAGCCTATGCTGCAGAGGATAAAACATCAGTTGATGATAGGCTAAGCATCCTGCAGTTCTATAAATCCTGGGGACAGTCTTATGCTTTGTGTGACGGTTGAATAGGTTAGAAAGTTGGTAGAAAAGGGTTTTTGTTAGCTGTTTAAATGTTGTTGTTTGTAGTGCTTTGTGGTCTATAGCAGAATAGACTATAGGCATAGACTATTTTGTGACACTGTTTTGAAATGACAGCAGTCTCTTACTGGGAGCATATGATGTTTCCACTTGTGTGTGCAGCTGCGAGGATTTTAGTGCGAATTATATTTGTATAGTACCAAGGACAGTGTCTTCTGGAACAAGCAAGAGGTTTGTTTGAGTCTTGGATAGCTAAGTCGTCATCTCAGTTCATTCTCAAGCTTTAAGGTTAAAAAATACTGTGCGTGAGGGAGGGGAAAAAACCCTCTGGTAGACTTTAAACCAGCTGGCCTGTTGGAATTGATGCCTTGCAAGTGTATGTACAAGCAGAGAGGTGCATATGCACTGCCCAGAGGCTGACAGGACCTAGGTGAGAAAGAATAAAATAAATACCTATGGCCCAGCTGTAATCTTGAAGCTCTTGTTAAGTTCTGGCCAATATTTTAACCAGTTTCTGATGATGGCAGCAGTGATGTCAGGCTTCATCGCTTTTCTTTGATGTCATTAACTACCTTTGCAGTAATGAGCAGTTATCTAAAAGAAGCCTGATTCTGGTCTGGCTATATAGCATAACCTTGTAGACCTCTTTCACTTTGAATAGCAGTGTTCTGAGGATACCCACTATGTGTGGCAACTCGAATTGGCCAGCAGCCAGCTCTGCTTGGAACCAGTGGGGGTTTAGGCAAAAAACAGGGTAGCTCTGGGACTGAAATTCTGGAAGATGAACCTGGTTTTGCCTGTTACCTACAGCTTTACCACTGACAATCATATCCAGATTTAGATAAAATTAATCAACCTCCATGACTTTAAAATGTTGTTTCATACTTCTTTATTTCCAGAATGAAGGTGTCTTATCGAGGGCATTTTCTGCATAATATCTACCCCTGTGCCTTTATAGATTCTCCTGAATTTCGATCAACGCAGATGAACCGGGGTGAGAAATTCCAGGTACACGTTGGTTTAAATGTCACTGGATGTGAGCTGATGAGATTATTAAAAAAACAGAGTATGATTTTGATCAACAGTGAACATATTTGACTAGCATAATTTTGCTCACTTTCTAGTGCTGGGTGTTTCTTGATATGGTCCATGATAAATAACTTTCAAAATCAAACGTTGCAAACCAATATTATTATGATATCATAGTATTATGATAGTGTTGTCTAAGAAGTCTGGCTTTTGCTGTTCTGTTCTTTTTTGTTATTTCCAAGTTTATTTTGGGTTAAGAGATTATTCAGGACAAATTATTTAAGAGATAGCTTTACTGGAAGAAGATGATGTGAGCAGTGTCATCGCTGGTTCAAAACCAGAAAGAAACATAATTATTGTAATATTTGGTGTTACTAAAATGAAGGACTAAAAATTCAGATCCTAGTAGTCTGAAATTAGTGCTTTTCTAAATGCATACATGCTTCTGTCCTTTTGAAAGTTGCTAAAGCAATGTAAACTGAAAGAGATCACGGTAGTTTGAATGAAAATATTCATACGGGGAACATAAGGGTGTATGTCCCTTGCAGCGTAATTATTCTAGTACATTAAAGGATATGTTATACTATGGATCGTGGGGAAAAATACTGTTAAAGAAGTTGTTTTCCCATAGTACTGAAATGGTTATTTTGCTACCTCTTACTTGATGTTTTTTAACTCTGTGTGTGTAATAATGACCAGAGTGTGGCTGACTGGGTACGGCCACACTGATACCCTGGCAGAAGGGGAGGGAGGGTGGCAAATGTAGACTCTAAAACCAGTGATTGATGTCATATGTTCCAGTCAAATACTAGGCTTAACGCCAGGGAGAGGGAATTGTCCAGACGTATTCATTTTGCAGTGGTGAGGCGTCCTGCAGCACGGCCGCACTCTGGGCACAGCCTGCCTTTCCCGTGAGCGCCTGGTTATAAATCGGTCCCTCTTTGGGGAAAAGGCTTGTGCCTCCACCTGCCTGCCTTAAAAATTACTGTAACCTGGTGTGGTGAACATCCCTCACTTGTGAGTTCTGCTTGTTACTGCCATATAAACGCTCTTAGCATTGCCCTTGCAAGAGGACACAGATTCCATCTTAAGGACCCCATCTACTGGCAACACTGGTGAAGTCTTCCCCAGGCTGTGTGCTGATGTTACAGTCTGTGAAGTCAAAATCCGTGGTTGCGTGACAGTTTCCCATTATTTCTTAGGCTGTATATATTTTTAATTTTCCAGGAGGTAACGTTAGCTTGTGGTAGCAGAAAGCACCCGATGATCTCTTCGCAGATGACTGACTTTCTCTTGCCAAAGGCGCCGTTGGGTATCGCAGGTTTCGGTGTGCCATTGCCTTCTGCCGGTACAGGGACATGAGCCTGGCAGGTCCAGCCTCCCTCGGAGAGGGTGCAAGCTCCTCTGTAACTGTCAGTAGCTGATTTATTAGTGCCTGAGCAGAGAGGAGCCTCAGCTCAACTGCTAGAAGGTGGTACTCGTGGGATCAGCCGGGCTGACAGTGAAGAGGGAAAGATTAAAATACATTTTTAAAATAACTAAAAACTCTCTGATGGAGACATTTGGATTGCACCTGTTGTTCCTGTTTGGTGACAGCAACATAAAATAAAATCAAGCAAGGTGTAGACCATGTGGTGTAGTCACTGCAGGACTGACTTTATGTGTAAATCTCCTCTGACATAAATGCATTCACGACTTGGGAACTTAGCAAAGATTTTCCCCTATCATCTCCACCCAGGTTTTCTGATATGCATGGCCAGTTTGTTTTTCAGTTAAAAATATGATGATATTAAAGATCTGAGATGTTTTATGTTTGTGAATAACACATTCTAAGGGCAGCCAAAAAGTTTTATGGCTTTAAGAGTTATTTTAACTGGAGGTACAAATAAAATATTTTAAAGCAAGACAGAAGTGCTAATTCCGAGCATGTTATTTTCTCAGGTCACCATTATCGCAGATGATAACTGCAAGTTCCTGTGCTGGTCCAGGGAAAGGCTGACTTATTTTCTGGAATCTGAGCCATTTCTTTATGAGATCTTTAAGTATCTTATTGGCAAAGATATTACAAATAAACTCTATTCCTTGAATGACCCAACCTTAAATGACAAGGTAAGCGACTGAAGTTTCATTTGGGAATTTTCCTTCCCCAACAAATGTGTTGTTGCTTCAACTTTAAATCATTTTAAAGCACCTTTTTTTAACCTGCTCCTGAATTCACACTCATTGCCTTCTAGCCAATGTATGAGTCAGTGCAGCGCTTCTGTCAGGAGCTGTATTGGTTCAAGTTAGCGCAGTAGTGTGCAAGAAAAATGAGTAACTGAGTTTCAGAACTGATTGGCTGGCACAAATACTTCTAGCCAACTATTAGATATGATGGCTGGTAGCTAAAAAGGTGCTTCTCCCTGGATATCCTCCTTTAAAAATGGGTGCCTTTGCACAAAGAAACTTCGTGGTCTTTTCTTTCCCTGCTGGGATTAAACAGCTGGGAAATACCGATTGCCAAAAGGAGTAATTTCAACATGTGTTTGAGGGTTGCAAATATTAAAAAAAAAAAAAAAAGGGGAGGGGGGTGTGAACATTAAGTTGATATGATGCAGTTAATAGAAGAAGGCATGAAATACTTATAAAATATTCAGTGGTTGCCTTTGCATGTAGGGGGAGTGTGTTTTTAGGTGACACAGTAAGTGGTCTGGGTGTAGTCATAGATATATTGATTATCTTGTTTTACTTTAATTTTGTCTCCTTAGTTACATGGCTTTTCAAGATTTGGATGGTAACTTGGCTGCTGGTGGGGTGTTCTTTATATTATTTATGTAGTGGCTGTAGGGTTCTCATACATAATTTATTTGAAGAACTTTCACCATCATTTATTAAAAGCTTTATAATTTTATAATGCAGTATTTTCTTATTCTGTGTGTATTTTTTTTTAACTTGCACTTACTCAAAGAAAAAATCCTTCTCATCAGATTGCCCATGAATATCTCATACATAGGTTAAATAGTTACTTCTACAAAGTTGTGAACTTATTAGAAAATGATCCAAGAGGAGTGACTGCCATTGCTACTGTACACCAGACTTCAGCAGGTTTAACTTGTCATGTCTTTATGGTTAATTAGGCACTCCAAGTGTTCTCAGTTTTGTACTGGCTATAGGAAGAGAAAAGAAGAATTGCTGAAGAAACAATGTAACAGCAATAAAGCACTGCTTATTCTGCCTTCTGGTCAATGAAATATGGAGGTTACACTGTTGTGAGAGCAGTGATCCAAAATACTTTTGAGGATCTGATTGCATCTTACTAGTGCAGTAACAAAAATGATCTGGCAGGAATGTACCATCTAAGAAATACATATTCTGAAGTGTGTGGTTAAAGTGTCTTTTTTAATAAAAAAAAAAATACAGGGGAATAGTCCATATTAAACTGACATCTACGTAGACAGTAATTAATTTCTGGAGTGTGGTGTCTGAAAGGAACACGTAGCAACATGTCTTGTGTGTGAGCAATCACACTGCCCCTCCTGCGAGACTGCTGTTCTCCACACTCCTCCTCAGCTTGCCTTTTTTCTCACACACATCCCCCCTCCCCTTCTTTTTCTCTTCATTTTTTTCTCTTTTCTATTCTCTGTTTTATTTTCCTCTCTTCCCTTTCCTCATTTTCTTCTTTTTTTTTTTTTTTCCACATGGATGATGGTTCAGGGTGTCACGTCTAATACATGAAGTCATCTGCCACAAACTTATGCTGCTGGTTTCTGGCACTGTAGAGCTTCAGCATGAGTTTAAATATTACTTGGAATGAAAGTATAAGAACGTACTCATTGTAATGTTGTAATTGATGTGTAAAATGAAAGGTCCTTACCATACATTCTAAGAATTTAAAAAAAAAAAGGCAAACTTTGCCCCTCCTTCCGCTTAACGTCTGTACACTTCTACTTCAGTTCGTACAAAGTCTTTATGTGACAAGTCATGAACTTAAGATTTCTGGAGCTGTTCTATTACAGTAACTTTTGAAAATTTATGTTATAAAAATGAAGAGTGAGTATTTGGGATATTTGTAGCACCTTTTTATTCTTCCTCACATGAAAATCCTGGTGCACAAGCCCTTCGTACATAACGTAGGACAGGAACTGTCTGTTGAGTAAACTCCTTCACTTCCCCATTGCCAGCACCCTATGGCCGTGTCACTTCTCACAGGCTCTGTTGCCAAATAATGCACACTATTGGTGTCTTTAATGCTTTTTAGCTGGTGACGGTCTCAGAAAATGTTATAGTTGACTGCTGTATACAGGAGACATACAAGAGAACAACTAAAAGAAATTCAGGATAGATTATTCATAATCAAGATGGTAAGTAAGAGGATAAGAATATCAATTCATTGTGTATTGGAAACCAGAAAAATATCTATTCAGTTGTAAGGAACCTTGTGATTTTTCTCCTGCTTAAGGAGCTATTTCACTACTCTTGGGGAAAACAGTCATTCCTCTCTGCATGAAATAGGATGTTAATTCCTGAATTTAAAGTTCAGTAAAGTGGAGTTATCCATTATGCTTTTGTCATTGATTACTACCTTCCACATACACCTGAAATAGCATTCTAACTTAACAAGGTACAATGTATGGTTTCATATAAATGTTCAAAAACTTCTCAGGAAAACTACCTAAAACAAATGGAAGCTCCTAAGATTGTTTCACAGGCAAGCAGTAATGCCCATGTGGTGCATTTAATCTGTCTTCAGTAAAATCAAGGCCCAAATGATCATCTACTTGAATCACAGAACAGTTTGGGTTG